CTACATCTGCCGCTGTTACTCCTTCATTTCCAGCGTTTTCAAATTATAACGTTTGTTTCAGGAGTTTGTTCCTTTCTGCAAGAAACAGTTAAATTTGGAAGGGACGCTTGAGGAGCTTTGTAAGAATAAGGATGCTGTCAAAATGGTGTTGGACGATATGGTTGCTGTCGGAAAGAAAGGGGGATTGTTCTCATTTGAGCAGGTACGTGTGAATGGAGCTGCTCTACTGTTCTCTCGAATGTCTCCGCGAGCCTAATTTCGGTTGTTGTTTCAGGTTAAGGCTATAAAATTATGCCCGGATATGTTCACCGTCGAAAACGATCTTCTTACACCGACCCTGAAAAGCAAAAGGCCAAAGCTGAAGTCGCATTTCGCGTCTGATTTGGAAGAGATGTACTCGACCCTTGACTGAAACTAGTCGCTCATTCGATGGATGGGTTCCTAATAATTTTGTTGTCTATATGTTAAATTGTCGTACCAATCAGTATGTGTCCCCTCTATTTGCTGTTTTATTGGGAGACTAGCTAGTTGTTCACTTTGAATTCACGCATGTCCTAGAGCTGGATAGCATCTGTGGAAAGAGCCATCTATTACTTGATTGGCTGCTTATATTCATGTTGCTTGCCTTTTCTTAGTGTAGTTCTGTGTTCCTGTATTACGGGTGGATGACCAGCGTTCTCACGTCAGCGTTGTGCTGTCGAGAATAATTGAATGCGTAAACTATGTTTTATTTTTATTCGAGAACTCACTTGCTCTCTAAGTACCTCATCGATCGTTTTATCTTCCCCGGTATATGCTTTTTACTTTAGAAATGGGAATGATAGTCTCAGCGGTCGGCCACTCAACGATTTTTTCATCCCTCTGTCAGCGTTTGTTTCAAAGTTATTGTACTTGGCGTCAGCGTCCACCAGCGACTACCAGCGTTTCTGCCGTACGGTAGCGCCAGCGACTTGAAAAGTATAGATATCGATCGAGCGAGCGCCAGCGTCTACCTCTACCAGCGGACAGAGGTAGAGAGTATGGGGGAGTAGGAGGGAATGTATTGTGTATCAAGATGGCATCATTCTGTGCTTCAGGAGTTGTACAGTGCAACGCGCCACGATTTCACGTCTAATCCAGCTGTCTGCTATCCTTCCAATTCCCCATTCTCTCTACCCCTGGCCACTGCTGTGTGCTGGCCGACGCTGGTGGACGCTGGCGTTCGTTAGATTGATATCTATACTTGCCTGGTCGCTAGCGCTGGCCTTCGCTCAAAACGCCGGTGGACGCTGCCGCAAAGTATGAACATAGCCTAAGCGCTCGAAAGACGTTTAATAGTCCCGACTACAGAGTTAAAATAACTAGAAGTGGATGTAGTGGCACGGTCGCTTGGATCACATTTTTCAGAATTGTTCACTTTCTTATCGGTGACCGTTCCATTCCCATTCATCAAGAATTCTGCATGCGTAGCCCCCATTATCCATAGTTTGGGCTTTTGTGGTTAATTTTATCTTTCTCATCGACTCGACTGTGTTTTCTTTTAGACACTTCAGTCTTTCTATTCGCTAAGTAATAGGCTTCAGAGTTCTATATATTTTCCACCCTTCACGTCTACATACTGATCGTCCACATTTTATTTATTGCATTTATCCCGCTGAATTTACAAGTTTAATGAGGTGAATTTGGCGCCGATCCCACGGAGGCATTTTCACTGTGATTTAAGTGCTATTATCTTTACTCAGCACGATGTAATTACAGAAGAGCATTAAATAAATATTATAATATTCATAGTTTGTTTGCTGGAGTGGCACCTTTTCTGGACGCGATAGCCATATGGGAGAAATATGAACACAAGGACGAGGGATTTACGTTTTAAGGTTGATCAACCACCTCTTCCGGATGCGCCGCTCATTCTGTTTTGTTGGCTGCGATTTCCTATACAGGGGAACCCAAAAAAGTCACTTCGACCGAGTCACATAGCAAAGTTTTCGCTGCCCAGACAGAGGACGTGGATACGAGTACCAGGGCGGAAGATACCCAAGATGTTCCTCGATAAGCAGGAGCTGGCTCTCGCCCATCACCAAAATATGAAGTCATCTCCAGTCGCAGCCTGACTGGAGAAGACCTTTGGAATTCATGTCACCTCCAAACAGCTGCGAAACTTCTAGTATGGAGTCACCCATGGATAGCTACCTGGAGACCAGTACTCTCGATCTGGATGACCTCCAACATCGAGCAGCCGACAACGTCGCCACGGTCTAGGACATCATCTTCACCACAGTCGCCAAGGAGCGGGTTGATGGTATGGACCGGAACCTGGCTGAGTACCTAAAGAAGATGGGGTCTACTGCTACAGCATTGAGTGCGACCACATGAAATCGAAGGGCGTTGGAGAAACACTCGCCTACTTGGAATGGAAGGGGGCTGAGTACCTAAAGAAGATGGAATATCCAAGTAGGTCACCTGACCTGAATCCCCTCAATTACCCGGTTCGGGCGGAGTTCAATAGGGTGGTCTACGGTGGCGGAGAAATCGACTATCTCGCTGATCTCAGGCACCACATCGCGGTCGCGTGCCAGAATCTCTCGATGGCGCTCGTCCAGAAGGCTGTGGCGGAGTGTCATGATAGTATTTAATATGCTCTTTAATATGGTGGTAAAAATGTCCGATCAGAATTCAATAAAGTGTAACTTATTGCGCCTCGGCCCCCTGTACAGTACAGACAAAGGACAGAGGATGTGAAGTGGTTGGTGTTTTTATCTGTTAATATAAATTCAAGAACAATCCTCCTTGGCCCAGCTGGCAAGCAATACCAAATTTTGACCTGACCGTACACGTGAAGTGCGATGTCAGCGAAGTCAGGTTGCTAACGCACCATGAATATTGTTAACCTACAAAGTAGTCTGTAGCAGGCTTGATTCGCAAGGTACAACGGTAAAGCACTAAAAGAAAGCAATATTCGAAGCTGACAGTTAGTAAGAAGCTGAATATCAGCCCTAACAACAAAGAAATGTCGAATTCTGGATAGTTATGGCGGAGGAAAGTGTTTTGGGCGACCTCGTGGATGAGGCAGACAAGCTCGAAAGTTTGGTCAGAACCCTGAAACTCCTTCTCTTGAACTGCAGTCGCCGCTCAAAAACTTTTCCTCTTTACGAGTGATACGAAGCAAAGTATCGATTGATTTATTTGAGCAAGTACGACCATCCCACCTCTCCTCTCCCTCCCCTGACGTCCTCCAGATGAGAGAGGTTACCTTATAAACGGACCGAGTCCATCTGTTGTTCTATTCTGAATTATATGAATCATTGTAACTACATTTATACTAATCGACGAGCGATTATGGCAAAGTCAGCAAGAAGGCGTTGGAAGTCGGGCGGACAAAAAGGAGATGGTTTATGAGCCCAGATGGCCCAGCGGCGGCTCTTCACCTCTTCAAGAAACTTCCTTCGACTCAATAGCCCTTACTTTCCTCCCGCTGTGCTAACAGTTCCTTTCCTTATTGCAGCTGGTGAGTTTGCTCACTTTCTCTCTCTCTCTCTCTCTCTCTCTCTCTCTCTCTCGTTATTCCGGTCTCATCATCATTCCTAGGCTGTAGTTGCGGTTCTAACCCTTTGTACAGTCAACAGCTTCTCCTTTGATGAACCTGATTTCGTATCTACTTGAAGGTGATAAACTGTTGTGCCTTCTTCGACTGTGCCTTTTTCGATTGTGCCTCCTTGCTCTCAGATGGTTTCTCTTATTCGTATTTATCCCCTTATTCATAGCTTCTTAATTCAGCTCTCATATCGCTCGTAACATTTATGATATATATATTTATTAGCTATTTACTTCAGTATATTAGGTAAAGTTCAATTACCAAGTTTGAGGTTGTCTTCTCGAGTGGTCTATCCCGCGTGGCATTCTTATCTTAGAAGAAAGTGCGAGCAGTTATCTTGACAGAAGACAATATCCTCAATTGGTGCATCAACCTATCTCCGAACTACGGAAGCGAAGTCAACTCCGATGAGCAGGATGTTAGCCGACGTGACAGAACCTCAACAGCCACTCGAGTTGGTATCCGAAGCCTCAGACGAAGACGAAGACCCACCTGATACTTCAAGAGATGAGGAACTGGAGCGCCTCAAGGAGACGAAAGCTCTCCAGGAAAAGTGTGTAGTGAATTGCACGATCTCGTGGAACGGTTCCTCTACAGTAACTCCGACCAGGGCCCACCCACGAACAAACAGCCGTGCGTTTTTCCTAAGGAAGACCACTATCGTGATTATTCCTTGCACGGAATTGAAAAAAGGCGAAGATAGATGGGCGAATGCGTAGGACCACGGACTATGTAAAACATGTCCGGATCCCGAATGTGAGGGAGATGCCGTCACGTTGAAAGCCCATGCTATTATTGCACTCGCCTTAAGGGAACTCCCTTGGCAAACATGATCTACTTTCTGGATCACCACTCTGCTCTATGCACTACTCCGGATCGTAAGAGATATGCAAGGAAGAGGCTCGAGGAAGCTAGAGACGAACTAAAGAAGATCAGTCATTCGATCGCTAGTAGACTGAATGACAAGAAGACAGCAATGGCCGCGGCAGATTGACGACAATGCTGTCCTCCAGATGAGAGAGGTTACCTTATAAACGGACTGAATCCATCTGTTATTCTTATTCTGAATTATGTATGAATCATTGTAACTACATTTATAGCTAATCGATGAGCGATTGAGGCAAAGTCAGCAAGAAGGCGTTGGAAGTCGGGCGGACAAAAAGGAGATGGCATATGAGCACCAGATGGCCCATCTGTGATGGTCAGCTCTTCACCTCTTCAAGAATCCTTCAACTCGATGGCCCTTTCTTTCTTCCGGCTGTGCTTTCAGTTCCTTTCCTTGATTCATCTGGTAAGGTTGCTCACTTCTCCCTCTCATTATTTCGGTCTCATGATCATTGCTAGGCTGTAGTTGTGGTTCTAAGCCTTTCGTACAGTTAACAGCTTCTCCTTTGATAAACCTGATTTCGTAGCTACTTGAACGTGATAAATTCTCTTCTGCCTTCCTCGATTGTGCCTCCTCGCTCTAAAGGCTCTCTTATGCGTGTTTATCCCCTTATTCATAGCCTCTTAATTCAGCTCTCATATTGCTTGTAACATTTATAATTGATGTATATATTTACTAGTTATTTACTTTAGTATATTAGATAAAGTTTAATTACCCAAGGTTTGAGGTTGTCTTCTCAAGTGGTCTATCCCGCGTGGCATTCTTATCTTAGAAGAAAGTGCGAGCAGTTATCTTGACAGGAGGCAATATCCTCAACCCCCCCCCCCCTCATGCCACATCAGAATGTATGGTGCGTTTATTCGAGCGCTTTTGGCTAAGTTCTGTAGGAAAGAAAGTTGTTAACACGGATCATACGAGAGTAGTACATCGACTATTCACTCGTTTGCTTCAG